TAGCGAGGCCATTGCTGGTGCGGTTCTGATGCCGGAAGGCCCACTGTGAAGTGGCTACGCCTTGTTAAGCGTCAGTCTTTCACTTTCCAGGGTCAATAGCTGACATTTAAAAAATATATATACATGAATATCGCGTTCAGTTTTTTTTTTTTTTTTTTTGTGTGGCAGGGGGAAGGAGGAGGAGGCTGCGACACTTAAAGGGCGCAGTCGCTGGTGCGTGCTATGTTGAGGCATAATGACACTGCTCGTAACTTAGAAGTGTGGCAGCTTGGGCAAGTTGGTATGGCATGACGGTAGTTATAGCACGAAAACAAAACGCCGACACAGAGACAAGAAGGACATGAAAGACACGAGCGCTAACTTCCAACGCGCATTTGGAAGTTAGCGCTCGTGTCTTTCGTGTCTTTCTTGTCTCTGTGTCGGCGTTTTGTTTGCGCGCTATAACTATCGTCAGGACTGCTCGTAAACTTTCTGTGCTGCTATTTAAATGTTTGTTTCGCGTTCAGAGAACTGACAGCATGAAAACCACTTCGGCTATTGGAGTGATTATTTGTCTTTAGCCAGCATTCTTTTTTTTTTTTCACCAATGCCTCCTTTATTTCTGTCAATGCCAGTGCGAACGTGCACTTATCAGCGGGAGCCTTCAGTTAACCTCAGTTAGAGGAGTGGTCGTGATGCAGTGCTATATGAGGAGTCATGCTGCTTATGTCACAGGTGCATCTGGGGGCTTTCCCCTGAAGATGCAATAGACGTGTTTCCTACTCCAATATCATGTCTGTCAGATCTGTTCCTTCGCGCGCCTTCACGCTACTAGATGCACTGCGTCGTCGCCTCATCACGGCGCAGTGCATGTAGTAGCGTTGCAGTTACGCTTCCCCATTGGTTGCCCACATCGCGCCATGAACGGGACATGCTATCTCAAAACACCTGGCTCGAACTTATCTTGGGAGCATTGCAAAGGTTGGATTTCAGACAGACGGGAGATGGGCGTGGCAAAACGAACACTCTTTATCATACGAAGCACAAACAATGGCAAAAGAAGTAAAAAATTGAAAGAGTAAATGAAACACTCGCTAGTAAACAAAGTTGCCACAATAATCACCCGTACATAGCCTAACCAAAGCTGACTCCTAACCAAAGCTGACTGTTGTTCAGTTTAAATCTGCCTTTAGCCCTGTACTGTCTCTAGCCAAAATGGCATCTCGGTGGCCACTCTCATGCACTCTCGCAATAGTAGAACGTTTTTACTGTCTCTATGCAACCATTGGAGCTACAACAAAGTGATAACGTCGTCGAATATGTCTTGGAAACTGTTGCCGTTCGGGCCACTCGACCTCATTGCCGGTTGGGTCCGATCTTGGTGGTATCCTCTGGCTTCTTTAGACTACGCCTAACTCGTCATCAGCGTCTTAACTGCATTTCAGGCTGCATACGTTCTGGATCGAAGGGGAAGAGCCATTAAAGAACCCCAGGTGGTCTAAATTTCCGGAGCCCTCCACTACGGCGTCTCTCATAATCATATAGTGGTTTTGGGACGCTAAACCCCACATATCAATCGAAGGGGAAGAGCCATTTGAAGAAGGTTTTCCAATTCGATGTATACGTTGGACACTTGTTGCTGATTCAGTTTTCCCTGCAGAATTCTCACTACAACCTCCTGCTTCAAAGTTTGCTCTGTCTCATTCTGCACATCTGGAATGCCTCTCATTACAATATTATTACTTCTATTGTGATTTTCTATTTGGTCAACCTTTTTATCAGTTTCGCCACTGTGGATTGCAGAGTTAATGATTCTGTTTCAGTCACCTCTATCCTTTTTACTAGTGCAGGTATCTGGGGCAAAGCCATTTCGGCACTAAAAATTTGTTGTTTCATTTCTGCTATTTCTGCTTATTTTCCCTTTGCCCCTCTATCAGCTGCACGAGCAGCTCCTGCGTTTCAGGGCCAGAGTGTGTTTCCACGTCTACACTGCACGCTAGTAACAACAATATGACCTCCCAACACTTGGCAACAAGCACTCTGATTGCCTGGGGGCTCGGCAGCACTACAAGACGACAGTCATCTCGAATAGTCCTAGTAACGTTTCACACCAACCTGTGCAAACAGCAAGATAGGGTTTAGCATTCTTGTTTCTCTTGTGCTGCCAAGCCCACTGACGCCACAGATAGCATCCTGGCTCGAAGAAACCGCCCCCTAGGTTGATGTTGATGATGTTAGGGCTTTCGCTGTCCATGCACCCTTGGCAACAATTGCCTGTTCCGTAGATCTGTAGATTTCATGAAACTTGCGCACGTCCAGACACCAAGCAGCATGCTCCGGTGGAATAATGCCGTTATCGGCCTGTTGTGTAGACAAACGAAGCAGGAGCAGCACCTGTGAAAACAGCTACACAGGGTTTAGCATTCTTGTCTCTCCGGTGCTACCAAGGCCACTAAATACAGGAAAACCAACCTACTGCTCTCCTAGCTCAAGGAAAATGAGCTGCATTGACTTATCCTTTTGTTCATCTTCCGTTTTTATGAATTTCAAGTGGGATGTCCCAAATGACCCACACGGGAGCGCTCATCTGCCCATACTAGTCGGCCAAACAACATCACTTTAAGTAATTCAATGAGAACCATGACGTTGGAAGCTACATTTAGCTGACTGGGCCCTCTTCCAAGACAAAGCCCGCCTAGAAAATATAGCGCCACACACAACCTCAGCATAGATGAACTAAACGAATGGCTGCCCGCCTATTCATTTCTCAGACCTCTGGACTTCTAAAACAAAATCACGAAACGTGGCACGCACATGAATGCAGATAAGCCTTGAAACAAAGCCTGCGCAACTATTCGCAGTTACTCAACACCAGAAAACTTCATAAATTTTGAAAAGGCCAGAGCGAAAGCCAGATACATCCGTCATAATGCGGAAAAATTCTCGTGGCAAAAGTATCGCTTCTATAAACAGCTCTACAACATCAAAAGGAATTTGGGAATGGGTCCGAAAGATACACGGCAAGTTGTTTCCATTCACTGCACCATTGCGGACATCTCGTGGCTAACAGACAAGTATTGAAGAACAAGCAAATATTCTGGGTGAATACTTTTGTGCCGTTCCGAGCTCCCCACATTACACACGATCATTTCTGACACACATACATGCAGCCAAAAATCAAAAACTTGCAACAAGCGGTTATACAAATGAACCCTACACTGCCTTATTACTTCTTAAGAAATCCACTCAGTATTGGTTGCATGAAAGCCGACCACACTGGGACCTGATAAGATACACTATGAAATGTTAGCCCATCTCTGCCCCGCCGCGGTGGTCTAGGAGACACACGTACATGCAGCCGAAAAACAACTTCCAACAAGCGGTTATACAAATGAACCCTACACTGCCTTATTACTTCTTAAGAAATCCACTCAGTATTGGCTGCATGAAAGCTGACCATACCGGGACCTGATGAGATACACTATGACATGTTAGCCCATCTCTGCCCCGCCGCGGTGGTCTAGTAGCTAAGGTACTCGGCTGCTGACCCGCATGTCGGGGGTTCGAATCCCGTGCATTTCTGACAGAGGCGGAAATGTTGTAGGCCCGTGTGCACAGATTTGGGTGCACGTTAATGAACCCCTGGTGGACGAAGTTTCCGGAGCCCTCCACTATGATGTCTCTTATAATCATAGGGTGGTTTTGGGACGTTAAACCCCACATATCAATCAATTAGCCCATCTCTCTAAACCGGCCACAGAAACACTCCTGACATTCTTTAACGAACTGTGGACATCTGGAAAATTACAAGATTGCCTGATGCCTGGAAGGACATTATTGTCCCTTTTTTGAAAACAGAAAAACCATCAACCGATCTTAGTACGATCCTAGTAGCTACAGCCTTTCAGTGCCTAAATATGCCTTTTTACGTTCGTCAAGTAAATTTCGTGCTTAAATGATCTGTTGATATAGAATAAAACAAGAAGCAATTGGCGTGGCCATAATAACGACAACGCGTGCATAGCGCGCAAGTTTTTTTTTTTTTCGTTTGTTTTCAGCTCCTGGTAAGGTGCGATTATGGTTAGACGTAGGGTCGACGCACTGCCACAGCAAACCATATTGCCACGTTCATTTTAGTTCAAGCTCAAGTTTAGTGCTCACCCGGTTACACTACGTTGAGCGCAAACCGCGCCTACGATGTGGCGGCGCTGCTCTCACCGCCAGGGTCGTCGGGGAAACTTAAGTGCTGATTCGTTATTCGATGCTAAGTTTCACTGTATTAGACATTTCCTGCATTTCCTTGAAGCAAACATCACTTTTAAGACATATTCAACCCTCGCGGCTATATTTAATAACATTTCACAGCTCCGGTGCGTGCTGAAGCGCCACAGCCGCTCCGATGCCCCGCTGCGGGCGAGGGTGCCCCCTAGCGGTTTCTCCTGTCTCGATGTCAAACTTTCGCCGAAGCTTAATGACCAGTAAAGGTATCAAGACTCTGGTCACGTCATGGTTTATGGTTGCAAAATCCCACGTACCTATTTTTAGTTTTGCAGTTCTGTTTAAAATACTTGTTGCTTTTGAGAGCTCATTTCTTTTTGAGTTCTCTCTGTTAAGACAATCTTGGGAGGTTGTTAGCACCATTTTGCATCTAAATGTGTGTGTGTGTGTGTGTGTGTGTGTGTGTGTGTGTGTGTGTGTGTGTGTGTGTGTGTGTGTGTGTGTGTGTGTTGTGTGGGTGTGTGCACACACATCGATATACACACTGTAGGTGCACGTACATTGATAAACAGAAGCTTTAAACACAGGTAAACAAGGAAAAAAAGGAGCACCAAGAAATCGTTTGAAAAAAAAAACTGAAGGGCATTTACAAAAAAGCTTGTCAAAATAATTAACACAGTGGTTGAATAAATTAAGCTTAGTATACCAGAACAGCAGATATGCTGTACTGTATAGTTTATGTGGGATCACAAACTTTGTACACAAAGCAACAGCATCCTGATAAAGAGCCTTGTCATGTGCAGTGCCATGAGGGACCAGTACATGCGGACAGGCGAGGGCTTCCTGCTGGTCTTCGCAGTTAACAATGGCAAGTCATTCGAGGACATCAGCATGTACAGGGAGCAGGTGGGTAAGCCTTTTCAAGTCGGTAGTATCCACACAAGGTTAAAAAAAACAGTGCCTTGCTTTTTTAAACTATTCGCAATGCCCACGGCATATAGGTGGCATGCTGTACAATCGGACGGCTGTGGAGGGATGATGAACCAGTGAATTCGCATAAAAAAAAATATAGGACGTGCGGACGTGCTCCCCGTGCCGCTTTCACCGGATGAACTCTTTATCCTCAAATAAATGTATATTGAACCAAACTACTTTCCCAGCCGATAGGAACTGCTGAATGTTCGCTACCTTATTTCGTGCTGCAGTGCAAACGGTGGTGGTGTCAGCTGATCGACCGTGTATCGACGTTTTGCGTAATCCTGTGCGTGCTACAGAAAACTGCGTGAACTAGAATTCACGTATGAACTGAATGGCGCCCCGCCGCGGTGATCTAGTGGCTAAGGTACTCGGCTGCTGACCCGCAGGTCGCGGGTTCAAATCCGGGCTGCAGCGGCTGCATTTCCGATGGAGGCGGAAATCTTGTAGGCCCGTGTGCTCAGATTTGGGCGCATGTTAAAGAACCTCAAGTGGTCGAAATTTCTGGAGCCCTCCACCACGGCGTCACTCATAATCATTTAGTGGTTTTGGGACGTTAAAACCCACATATCAATCAATGAACTGATTGGCACTCCAAGATCATTTGTGCCGAGCCTGTCTGGTGGATTTTCCGTAGTAGTAGGCCACTAGCGAGTAGCATGCCGTTGCAACTGCATAGGATCGAATGTTTCACGAAGCGATGGTTTGCGAACATAATACGCCATCGTCATTACTTGCGCTGTAAGCATTATGCAGCTGCTTCTCCAATGGAACACAAGCATTTAACTTCCCATTAAGTAGCGCTTTTGTCATAGCCATGATCAGACTAACAATGTGCAATTCACTGCACTCGGATGTGGCAGATTTCATCAGCGCGTTCGAAACTAGGATATCAACACGCATTTGCTTTGCAACGTCAAAATTGCGAAAATATGTCGAACTACGTCGTTCGGATGGCGCCAGTGAACTGCAGGAGAAGTTAGCGTGGACTGTAGTTGTAACTGCATATTTCATTAACTGCGTATTTTTGCACTATTTCGCTTCGATGGTTGAGTTTGCGCGTGTTGGCCGCATGCGGCTGTAATTGAGATACATCCAATGCACAAGAAAAAGTATACTTTTATTTTGAGCTCGCTGAAGGCTATTATACAATAAGTACAATCAAAGCGACTTGCAAGGGTGAAAAAACAACACACGATGGGACATGCAGTGCAACTCTGCTTGTGAGCTAGCAGCTGATGATTCATAGCCGCTGTCGCTCTCAGCGCGTTGAAAACCATTCACATCCAGTGAAAAATTTTCGACGTCAAGACGGTTTTTTTGAACATCACTGTTGAAGGTAATCGGAAGAATTCTCTCTGCCAAACGACTTCGACAGCACCAAGATCGTGTCATTCACCACGCACAACACCCACACGGCGTCACTCACCACGTTTATCTGAGGGCTGGGAGATCATTTCACTCTGATACCCAGCAAGAAAAGAATCGCTTGCAGTCTGCTGCCATTAATCAACGAACGTAAAAAACAAGCAGCGAAGCGTAGGCCAAGGTTTAGAAACACAAATCGGGAGCCTGCGGTACTTTCCGCAAACGATGAATGTTATGGGATTTATGCACTACAAAAGCATTGACGAATGCTATATGCATGTAAAACAAGGCAAGATTTAACTGGAATGGTCAGGCCATAACGTTTACCTATGCAAAGTGGCTGCAGAAAATCTCGCGAAGCGGATATGTATACTCTGCGGGCTATAATCGAAAGCATGAGTTGCCACTTATTTTCACGAAAACTTCTCGTCTCGCAGCAATGAATCAGATTTATCGTGTCACGAATGATCTGGTATATTCACTGATTCCTGACGCATACAAAATATTTTGTCGTCATTTCTTGCTAATGCGTTGATACTGCATCTAGCGTCGCCAAACAAGGCAGCATTGGGAGCCTCTGCCTACTGATAATCCTTGAGAGGAGGCTCTTGAATTTTGCTAGGGGGCGCGACAGTCTATGAGCATTGCAAATTCTCCAGTATTAAGCCTTATGTAGGGTTGTACAGTCGGGAGAAAAAGTTGTGCATCATTTGAAAAGTGAAAGCAACTGATAACACTGGTGCAGAAGGAAAGGGAGCATTGTAAAGGGAAACCTGTGGGCAATGTTGCCAAATGTCTTTCAGGCCTAATGTAACGAAGGATTGTGACAGTATGAGTGGTGGAGTCGCTGCTTTATTCAAGGAGTTGCTAGGAATGAGCATGGTTTCTAGCCTCTTGGGAATAGTGTTGTACTCCGCCTATTTTGATGCCAGTCTGCTCATGCACAGTTGCTTAGTGGCTGAGGACTGATGCACAGCTGGTCTGAGGTGTACATGAGTGAGTATGCTTTGGGAGATGATTTGGACTCTAACCAAAAGTTTTGAAGAAACCTGACGTTTCGAAACCGACTTGGTTTCTTCCTCAGGGATGACTGCAGCACGACGCAGCAGCGGCGTCTTCAAAGCACTTGCGGGACGGATAATGACCCCCCCCCCCCCCTTTCTCTTTCGTTTTTCCGTCGAGCGCAGTCCATGTGTATACACTGGGGGAAGGGTTCCGGGAGAGTGGTTGATGGTATGGGCTGTCCTCTGTATGTGCCACGACTCGAGTAATAACCTTCCTTCCAGTTCGACTCGCTTTCAAAGATGGCCATTGCTTCTAAATTTATCCGGCGTAAGCATAAGGTACCCTATTTCTTTTTATGCACTGCTTTTTAGAGGACACACACGGTAGGGGTTTTTTTGGCCTATAGACAGAACGTCCTAGCCACATGATATATCACTGCAAAAGGAAAATGAAGTTTGTTAAATTGTGTAGCGTCAGCTCAGAGATGAATTTTGTTAAATTGTGTAGCCTCACAGAGTCCGGAGAGGGAAAGCTGAGCTCCTCCGGGTAGATGGCCGCAGACCCGAATGTCGGCAGCGGTCCATGGCTGCTTTCAGCTACCGGCTTCCAGAACCCTCTCAAACATGGCAGCCACTCGATCCCTGAGAACAGCTTCTTCGACACGTTCCCACACTTCGGGAATGTCGGTGCTTTACGATGGCCTCGCGTAGATGACAATAGCCGAGTTGAGAGGTTGACCTAATGAGACCAGCTCAGTTTCGCCGTCCCATGCTCTTCGAGCCCATTCAACAAAAGGCTTGTCTTGCGAAGCTTTCGTTGAGACCCGACTGCTTCCTGGAACATCTACAGGACAGCTACAGAACAGCGTCTTGCAGAATGGGCGTCGATGGAGTTGAAAGCATCCCAGCAGACTTAGCGCATTAAAAGCCCTACATTTAAGGTCGGAAACCGAACCGTTTCTCGGGGACATTTTACAGAAGCTAGAAAGAGCTGAGAAAAATGGCTAGACAATCCGGCTTGTATGGGTGCCGAGCCATGTTGGTATCCCAGGAAACGAAAAGGCAGGCAGGGTAGCAACAAGGGCAGGTCATCAAAGCATAGCAGAAATAAGGGCACCATTCAGAGACTGTTTCAACAGTTGTCGGACAGCCTTTAGGGCAAAATGGCAAAAAGAGTGGCAAGCTCAAGTGCATAACAAGCTTCAAATTATCAAGCCTATTCTACAAGAATGGAAGTCTTGCAATCACCAAAAGCGCTTCATCGAAGTAACACTATGCCGCCTGCGTATAGGTCATACTCACCTAACCCACAACTTTTTAGTGTGCAAAGATCAGCCAGAATGCGAACATTGCAAGGAACCTCTGACTATCAATTATATTTTAATAACATGCCCAGTTTTTGAAAAAAGTAGACACGTTTATTTTAAACATTTTACAGAACACAAACACCTTTACACCCAATGTTAATACTATCAGAAAATGCACCCATCCCCATGTAGGATGTTTTTAGGTTTCTAGACGCCGCAGGTCTTCTAAACAAACTGTAAACAGAAACCTGTTTTTCACCTCGCATTTTAACCTTATTATCATAATCACCCAGTGTCTGGCGCATCATAGCCATTGTTGCTTTTGCGCCATAAAACCCAACGTAACTAACTTTTGCACTGCTGTTTCTTTCTTTCGCCCTGCTGTTTGCCACCTCTTTCATGCCTTCGCATTACTGCGTTTCTTTGCTTCACTCTTTTACGGCAACGATTGCGACCGAACTTTTTTTCACAACTAGGAAATCTGCCTCGGATTGCGTCGTCGGTGGTTTTACAGCTCAAGGGCGCCCCACGAAACTTGCTGTGGACGGAATCGGAAGACTGGCGCTTTACACAAGATTTCATTTGCAAAACCGCTTTCTTTTTATTTTTCGTCCGGCCGCTCAGACGCATGCAAACCGAGTTTGACGCCGATGCAGAACCCCTAGTTCTGTTCACTACGCTCAAACTTGTCGAGCCTTTCTTTACACCCGTAGCGTCTTTTGTCTCACTCGCAGCTCTACGACGTCGCTTTCGTCAGCGCCGCTTCTTGCAGTTCGTTTCCAAGCGTCCCGATCGCTGCTCAAGCTCGACCGCCCTCTTACAGAACTCGTCAGCTGTCGACGCCGCGCCGTCTAAATGATTTTCGAAAAAAATCACCTATTTCACACTCTATACTGGCGGACAGCTTGACGCTCTTAGGAACAGTGCTGCTGTTTTCCTTCAAGCCATCTAGCTCGCATTGCAGGGAGCTGCCTACAGTCAAACTGTTCTCTTTACTCACTGCTTTGGTCGTTGCTCCTGAGCTTTCTCCGATTTCCTTTCCTATTTCCACATTGTTTGCAAGTTTCATTGACGAGACAACCTCAGTTGAGGTCTGTACCAGCTTGTCTACAGCTATCCTAGCTGTTTCGTTAGCATTGTCTACAGCTATCCTAGCTGTTTCGTTAGCATTAAACTGGCTCAGCACCTTGTCGCGCTCGCTCTGGCCTTCATCGGCCTCTCTATGCAGCGCAGCATTTTTCGCAGCACTCAA